CCGCGGAGACCTCATCCACCGGGCATGGAGTGTTCTGGCACGATCTTGCCTGAGTTGGCCTTACAGGAGTGAGGCTGAGCCAGGCAGGAAGAGGAGGGAGAGGGGTGCGTGGGGCAGGCAGCGTGAGGGGCCGTGCTGGGCCCTGTCCTGCCTGGTGGGCTCCAGCCACGTTCTGGCTAGCCTGGGACCTCCTCAGTGCTCAGGCAGGATTTTAATTGCAGAAGGACAGAGCTGTAGATATTTTTGTCCATTTTATATAAGGAAATTAAATACTAAATGTGTTAAATAAAAACATCAATTATAAATTGTGCATTTGTTTATCTGTTTCTCCCTCTTGCCTTTGGAAGCACTTTGATACGGAGACCCAGGACCTCGCAGGGATTGAGTGGGCCCCAAATGGCTGTGTGCTGGCCGTGTGGGACACCTGTCTGGAGGTATAGAAAGGGACCAGGTAGACCCTTTGTGTTTTAAGTGCTTTGACCTGTGTTTACTTGATGCTTTGCGAATGTGGTGGCTTGGTTAGCTTCCCGGGCTCCGATGCTGAGCAGCAGTCCTTTGACCAGAAAGTCCTTAGGTTTGTGGCCAAGGTCCCCACTGTCGCCTCGGCAGGAGGGCCTGTCTTCCCTCCGACTTCCCACTCACTGTCCGAGTCCCACTGGCGGGTGTCTGTGTCCTTCCCGGGCTCAGGTCGGTGTGAGTCCCCGCAGCCGTGGTGTCTCCTCCAGTACAAGGTCCTGCTCTACTCATTGGACGGCCGGCTCTTGTCTGCCTACTGTGCCTACGAGTGGTCCCTGGGCGTCAAGTCTGTGGCCTGGAGCCCCAGCAGCCAGTTCCTGGCGGTCGGAAGCTATGACGGGAAGGTGAGGACAGAGCAGCGCACGCGGTGACCCGGGGCACAGCGTGGACCGGGCTCCCACGCGCACTTTCTCTCCTCAGGTGCGCATTCTTAATCACGTGACTTGGAAAATGATCACAGAGTTTGGGCATCCAGCGACCGTGAATAATCCCAAAATAGTAAGTCTGGAATACGTGCTGCCCTCAGAGCAATATTTGGGGAAGGAAGGTAGAAAAATACCGCTTTTTCACTTTACGTATTGGTTGTGATGTAGGTACTTACATCACTAGAAACTTCTGTCACTGTAACATTTCAGAGGATTGGAAGCAGTGTCCCTGCCCTATCCCTCCCCCTCCCCAGATGACTCAGATCTGCCCCTGCTCTCGGCACAGTAACCAGGGTCTCCTGCCTGCAAGCACTGAGCATCTGGGGCTGGAGAAGCAGACCAAAAAGTACGGAGTGGGTGTCCCTGGGGCAGGCAGGGACAGGCGGCCTGCTGAGGGATCACGGGGTCAGACGCCGGGAAGAAGTGATACAGGATCTGAGGGAGAAGCTGTTCAGGCAGCGGGAACAAGAAGTGCAAAGATCCTGAGGCAGGCGCTGGGAGCGGGGGCAGCACAGCAGGGGACAGACAGACCCTGGCCTTGGGGAGCTTGCCCACGGATGAGAAACATGAGTAGAGACGGAAGGAAGGCCGGGAGGGGTACCTGGGGAAGTCAGGCTCAGGCGGAGGTCCTGAGGAAGGACTGGGCTGGAGGTGCAGGCAAGGAGGTTGTAGGAGGCCAAGTCCAAGCAGGCCGGCCATACAGGCCTGGGAGAGTGCTGCAGGCCCTTCCAGCCTGCAGCCGCAGCGCCCTCTAAAGCTGTAGGGCGGGCGGGGGCTCCGTCACCTCGGGCACAGGTCTGTCAGGCTTCAGGCCACAGATGCCCCCTCGTTCCCTGGGCCTACGTCCGTTACCTGCCACGTGGCCGGTCGCGTGATGCAGACTTGTATGCCGCCAGCACACACTGAGGGTGCTAAGAACCCCCACGAGGGAGCGGGTGTTGCTGGGCCAGCGTCTCTGTCCCGTCACCGGGAACGGCACGCCTTGCCACGAGGTCAGGCGTCACTGTTACCGGGTGCTGTCACCGCCTCTGCTCCCACCTGTCCTGAGCGGGGTGGTTGTCGTGTGTTCCAGGTTGTGTATAAGGAAGCTGAGAAGAATCCGCGGCTGGCACTGGGCCGCCTTGCCTTCCCCCCGCCCAGAGCAGCGGCCGGCCCAGCCTCCACCACGGAGAGCAAATGTGAGCGCAGAGGGCGGGGGTCATTCACTTTGTTCTCCTTTTCTTTTTTATGAGAGAATTCCACTTGTCCAGGTAGAGTTCAGGTGTTCTTTTTTTTTTTTATTTGCGAGAGAGAAAGTGTGAGCACACGCACAGGGGAGGGGCAGAGGGAGAAGCAGACTCCCCGCTGAGCAGGGAGCCAGACGGGGGGCTTGAACCCAGGACCCTGAGATCATGACCTGAGCCGAAGGCAGACGCTTAACCAACCCAGCCACGCAGGCGTCCCCAGACATTGGTTTTTTTTAGGTACACACTTTCCCTTTCCTGTAACACCTCCCAGCCGTGTCCCTCCACCCGCGGATCAGGAGAGCAGGGGAAATGTTTGTTGATTGCATTGAAGCGCTGGGAATCCCAATCTGACAGCCGGTGCTCTGCGGGTGATTTCTTTAAGGAATGGTAGAGTGCCCTCGGGTCAGCCAGAGGGGTGAGAGCGGTCAGGGGCCTGGCCTGGAGCTGCCGAGCTGCTTGTGGGTCCCGGCCGCTGGCTGCGCTTCAGTCCCCGCTTCGGTTCAGCGGGCGCAGCGAGGGCGTCCCGCGGGCTTGAGGGTAGAGGGGGGCCTGGAGCAGCCAGCAGGCCGGGCGGCGTCCGCGGCCCAGCTGCGGGCCCGCACCCCCGGTGGGGCAGCCTGGACACAGCGAGCACACCTGCCTGCCTGGCCTTCGTCCTCCTCTTCCCCTTTTGCTGCTGGTTTTATGATGTTGTTTAAGGCTTTCTTGTAGAGCAGTTTGGGGCGTGCGGCGAAACGGAGTTCCCGCACGCCCCCGCCCCGATTTCAGAGCGTTTGCCCCACGCGCTGACGTGGCGTGGCTCCGTGAGGGCGGGGCGGCCGCCACGCGGTGTCGCCCACGCGCGCCCCGCGACTACCCGCAGCGTCCGCTCTTCGATGTTCCAGACGAGGTCGCCTCGGCGCCAGTGTCCTTGCAGACTTTGAAGCCCGTTGCTGACCGAGCGAACCCGAGAATCGGCGTGGGCGCGCTCGCCTTCAGCCCGGACAACTACTTCCTGGCGACGAGGAGCGGTCAGTGGCTGCGGGCCCGCGCCGGGTCCGCTCACGCTTTCCTTTGAGCCCCGGCGCCCAGACCCTGGGAGGAGGAAGCCAGGTAGCAGGCTGCCCGGGGCGCCGCGTCCCCCCGTCTGGTGCTGGGTCGCTGTGCCGCGGAAGCTTGCGGAGGCGCAGCCTGGTCGGGCAGAGCAGTCGGAGGTCGACGCTGGTAAAGAACAGGGGCGGCCGCCACCCCGGCGGGGCCCGTTTTGGACAGGTTTTCAGCAGTCGTCAGGCCTGCCTGCGGCCCTGAGCCCGGGGGCGGGGGAGGGAGTGTGGCGCCCGCGGGTCGGGGGCTGCCCTTCGTGCGCGGCGACGACGCGAGGACCCATCCACGTCTCTCCTCCTCAGACAGCGTCCCGAACGCCGTCTGGATCTGGGACATACAGAAGCTGCGACTCTTCGTGGTGCTCGAGCAGCTGTCCCCGGTGCGCTCCTTCCAGTGGGACCCCCAGCAGCCCCGGCTGGCCATCTGCACGGGAGGCAGCAAGGTGTACCTGTGGTCGCCGGCGGGCTGCGTGTCGGTGCAGGTGCCGGGGGAAGGTGAGCGCAGGGTTCTGTGTTCTCCGGGCGGCCGTAGGCGGAACCCCAGGGGTCGAGCCCGCCCCGGCTCACTGCGTCACTGCGTCACTGCGTCACTGCCTCAAGCGTGAGGTGGGAGTCGGGAGTCGCGGTCCGTATCCTCGGGGAAACGTCACGGCCGGCCCCCGGTACGCACACCTAGCACAGTCCTGCTGCTCGCAGCTTCTAGGCCATGTGAGGAGGCCCCCCGAGCTGAGAGGTGGGGCTGTAGTTGGGTCTCTCCAGGCCTGTCCTCTGCCCACGGGATGTGGGGCCACGTTCACCCTTTAATCCTCTGGCCGCCTGTCTTTGTCCAGGTGACTTTCAGGTGCTTTCTCTGTGCTGGCATTTCAGCGGGGACTCACTGGCTCTGCTCAGTAAGGACCACTTCTGTCTGTGTTTCCTGGAGACCGGGGAGAGAGTTGGCACCGCCTTTGGACGGCCCGGTGACCACACATAGGGCCTGTGTGTACCCAGGCCCGGGTGAGACCGAGGCGGGATGCCTGGCACGTGCCGGCTGTGGAGAAGGGACGGGCTTCACTGGGGAGTTGCTCTAGCTGGCCCAGAGGGAATGATTTGCTGTTATTTTTCTATAGCGTTTTTGTAAGTATGTATGGTATGAAACTAATTTTTTTTAAATAAATATTTGCTAATTCATAAAATGGCTGATGCTTGTGTTCGTGAAAGGTTTGGGTCATGGGAAGGACTCCCTTGGGTTTGTTGCAGGTTTTGGGTTCACTTTCTGATAAAGTAACTGACCCCGTTTCTCCCTCAGACAGATGTCCTGCTCTGCTCTGGAGACTCCATTCCCCATCACTGGAGGTTTCTGGAGAACGGGCTTGGGCTTCCCATGGGCTGTGTTCTGGAGTGCAGGGAGGGGAGCCCTGAGCACCGTGAGGGGTGGTGCCACATGGGGGGGAGGGGGGAATGCAGGTCCCAAGGCCTTTGGGTCAAGGTCGGCTCTGCAGGGAGTACAGCCTGGCCTTCTGTCCAGAGCAGTTCCATCCACCTCTCAATTAAGGTGCTTCTGACAGCGGCCAGGACTGAGAGGCGCCGGTGGAGGAAGTAGGATTCCAAACCTGGACTCGTCATCCTGGCTAAAGGCTAGTTTGTACACCACTATCTGGGCTTTTCTGTGAGTGAACTGTACCAGAACAGTAACTCCTTAGGATCCCGAATGTGCACAGCAAGTTGGCAGATTTACAAAGCTAACAGCTTCAAAGAAGGAACGACATCTGTTCGACTGTAAATGTCTTTACTACAAGACCAAAAACGAAGGCTCAAGACCCAGGTGGTGTGGAAGCAGCCTTTCGATTTTCATAGGCTGCTGCATTTGGAGCACATCCATGCCGACTAAAGCTACACCAGAGTTGTAAATATGGAGGAAGAAACCTGTGAGCCAGCACTTCAAGCTGGTAACCAATGCTCCCGGTCGAGCCAGCAAGCCGAGGACGGGCGGGCGCATGGGTAGCGTGCCCGGTTCCCACATGGACATGCTCTTCTGTGGGCCGCCACGGCTCAGGCGTGGTCAGGGCGACGCTGACAGCCTCCGGTCTGCGTGGGCGCTGCGGTCACCGGGCCAGGGGTTAGCAGCATAGGAGATGAGAATCTAATACGGTCCCTTTTTTTAAAAGGGCATTCTTTAAAAGCAAAGTAAGCAATCCCCATTTTAAATATGAGTATGAGAATACAAACCTAGACTAGGCATAGTTGTCATATTGTTTGCAAAGAATATCAAGGTGACTCTCAAATTAATGAATTGTCTAAAAATGACTTCCTGCAAACTTCTGGGCCTGGGAAAGATGCCAGAGGTATTAACACAATATAATTTTAGAAAAAGTGTGACTTTAGGTCAAACACATATTTACACAAAAGCAGCTGTTCATTCAGGAGCTGATGAGGCAGACTGTCTCTCCTTTAGTTCAACAGTCTGGGTTGTTTTGCATTTAGCTTTAAAAAAATGAATTAAATTTCAAAATACAAAATTTGACACCAAGTATAAAGGTATTTGCAGCTACAGGCACTGGGGTTTAGGGACCTCCCTGGGTGGAACAATCTACACGGTTGAAGTGCTAGCAGGGAGGTTCTAGTGGGATCACACGTTTATTAACATGCTAGAGTGCTGGGCTGGGAAGGACCATGAAAAGCCAAATGCAGACACTCCAGGAAAAACACGGAAACAGGTTCTAGAAGATGGAATACCGGCCAGGACAGGGACAGCTAGATTCATTTTGCTTTTTGTCTGTAGCTCCTATTACCAGATGTCCAAGATTCAGCTAGAGTATAGAATTCATTGGACTATTCTAATCACGCTCAAATTCCCGAAAGGTTAACAGCCCCAACCCTGCCAGGGGCAGCAGAGCTGGCCTGACACCCCGAGTCCCCAGATCTGCCTGTGGGCAGCGTCTAGAAGCCTATTTTGCCTCTAGTCATGGAATAACCCAATTTAGCCTCGTTGTTAATGAAGGACATCAATCCCACGTAGGTCTCAATGAGGAGGGGACGCTCCAAGACCAGCACACCGTTGGCTTGTCCCGGCAAAGGACTCTCTTTTTGGGCTTTTTTGACAGCTTGGATTAACATAGCTTTGAAGCTTTCCAACTTAAAAGAGAGAGAAAACATGTTGCTGATCAGTGATCTATACCAGGAAAAACCCCACCCATTTCTGCACCAGCCCCCGTCACTGCCCTTGGATGGGATGCCTTTCCCGCCACATCCTTGTAGTCGCTTAGCTCACCTTCTTGATGTAGTTCTCTGGACATGTCAGGCCTAGCCCTGTGCTCACGGGGACAGAGGACAAGCCTCACAGAGCCTTGCCCTCTGCAGGTCGGAGCAGTTCTGCTGTAGGGACCTACTTAATCCCTCTGCCACCCACCAGGCTAGCTAAGCAGGCCAAGGTGCACAGCTGGCAAGTGGGCCCCAGGGTGTCCCCTCCTGGTAAACTAGTACAGACTGCCCAGAGCCCTGCTGGGCCCTTCTCCGAGGCAATCATGGCTGCAAGCGGCCATGTCATAGAGCTACACTGACCAGGAGCCACTGGGCACACAGGGCTATTTCAACATGAGCTAACTAAAACTTTTAAAATTTAGAAGTTTGTTTCCCCAGTTTTACAAGAGCAGCTGAAGTGCCCCACAGCCACATGTGGCCACCGTGGTGAGCAGGGCAGACCTAGAACGTCGCCATCGTAGCCAGGTGGCGCGGCTCTTCGGCTCTTACTTGGCACAGAGAGGCTGTCTTCTCATCCGCACCAGCCATTGGATGCTCTATGAACGTGGCGTAGGGCACATTGGTGGACCAGGGGTTCCATCTGTTTATGAAGGAAGGGCGGCTCTGTTTGTCCCACTGAATGCGAATCCCAAAACCTTCTCGCCTGCAGAGAAGAAACGAAGACTTCACACGGCAGGCCCCAGCGCTCCCGGGCAGCCCAGTCAGGTATGAGGGGTGACGTTAGGAAGCTGCTCCATGGCCAAGGACAAGACCTACGACGTTTCCCAGCAGAGAAGAACTTCTGGGCTCTAAGAGTGACAGCAGTCTGGATTCACCACACACTCTGAATACGACAGACTGAACATGCTGTGTTGGTTAAGCCAATCTTTACACAGTGCAATTTAATGGGCAATGGGAAGACTCTGTAGGTGGGCTGAATACATGAATGACAGGTTTGTAACTTTAGGTCTTTCGTCCAGAAGTTCTCACTGCTAGCTGGCATTCTTTCCAGTCCCCGATCAAGCCTCTGCAGCAAAACCGTACCAGGACTGCGGAAGTCACTCAACCAAACTAAAGTCTAGACTCCTCATGTTTCACAATACTCACTTCGGCAAGTCGGCCATTAAATGTTTTCACATTTAACTTTCAGTGACATCTGTAATGAAAACAACACACTTTTTTCTGTTAAAATTCAACTAGAGCAGAGCTTGACGTGACCCATGTAATCCTTTCCTGGCCAGAGGTAAAATGCTGAGTTTGGCCCCCATCTTAAGAATGCCACGTCACGGGGCGCCTGGGTGGCTCAGTTGGTTAAGCGACTGCCTTCATCTCAGGTCATGATCCTGGAGTCCCGGGATCGAGTCCCGCATCGGGCTCCCTGCTCGGCAGGGAGTCTGCTTCTCCCTCTGACCCTCCTCCCTCTCATGCTCTCTCTCTCTCTCTATCTCTTTCTCTCTCTCAAATAAATAAATAAAATCTTAAAAAAAAAAAAAAAAAGAATGCCACGTCAGGTCTGCCTCCATAGACCAACCTCAAATTCATTTTACTACAAGCCTAATAGCTTTCTTTTTGTGCCAGTTTTCCTTTTAATGCACCTGCTGTCTGGAAGTCTCTTGCTTCTATTGATCTGAAGCTGAGGCTTTTATGTTTCCCCAAATGGCAGACCCAAGACAACCCAGAGAACTGGTTTTGGGAGGACTGACTACAGGCCCTGGTACTCGGCTCGCTGTTGAACAGACTTACTTGTTGAGCGATTTCGGGGGAAACTGGAATTCTCCGCAGGAGATGGTGTCCACCGCATTTAAGGCGATGCGGACCACCTGCTGGCACTGAAGGCTGATGAAGTCGTACTTGCAGATGAGAAGCGCCTGGTCTGTGATGAGCACCAGCCGCTCTTTCTCGTTGTTCCAGTGGTCAACCCTGTCCGCACACGGTATGAGTCACCGGGCGCGCCCCGCGCACAGGCCACCCGGCCGGTCCCCGCGCCCCCGCGCGCCCCGCTCACTCGGTCAGCAGCCACACGCCCTGGATGTCGCCGTCCTCCACCGGCCGCACCACCACGCCGATCTCCTCCACCGCCTGCTCAATGGTGCCGGGCTGCGCGGGAGGAGGGTGGGGTCACTCTCGGTCCTCCGGCATCCCCCCAACCCCAGCCCCCCCGGCCCCCCGACCGGCCCAACCGCTCCGCGGCATCCCCCGGCCCGCCTCACCCGGAACACGAAG